CCTCGTATGCTTGTTCATACATTCCGAGGGCTGGAATCTACCAGTACTCAAAGCCCACTGTCATTGGAGCCCTCACTACAGAAGCTGATGGGACACAGTGATGCCTGTCCTGTTTTGGTGTCCCTGAAGACCTGGGCCACCTCTTTTCCCAAATTTACCATCTCTTTTAGGACATTTCCATCACTGGATTGAAGGCAAGGAGTGGTGTGCTAAAACTATTCTGTCACTTCTTCCCACAGGTCACCAAGGAAAACAGAAACTGCCTTTTGCCTGAGATCATGAAGCACATGCCGAGTGCGGGAGGTGAATCCCACTGAGTGCTGTCTCGCCTCTCTGAGGAGGTGCCTGGCCGCGTGGCCTGCTGCTCGCTCCCTCCTAAAGCTTGCTGCCTGTGTTTAGGCACCTTGTGGGCTTTGCCTGAAGCTGGACAGCTGCTTTCTGTAGGTTGCCCTCATGGCAGGTGGGCTGCATGAGATGAAGGGTCCACCATAGCTTGTTGATGCTTCAGGCTTTCTGTTTATTTCCTTTTATAGCCATGTGTGTGATTGGGGTAAGTTACAAATGAGAGAGTCTTGGGAGCATTTGGTGCGATTTGCCCCCACTGACATTTATGAATGTGTTTGGGGTGGGACAAAGAGCTCACTGCCAGGCGGGGCCTCAGGCTCAGCAGCTTAAAGTGGTAACATGTACTGGATTTTCTAAAACTCTTTCTAAAGACAGGCATTTTAGGTTTGCTCCCCTGTCTGTTTCTTTCTTTCCTTATTGCCTAATAAACATAGAACTGAATCTGAGGTTCAGACTCTCAAGTGTTGTGGGAGGCACATGGCCTTCAGATTGTCCAGGCTGTTTGACCCTCTGCAGGCTGAAGGACAGGGAGAGCGGGGCCTACTGGGCACAGCAGAGCCTGCGTGTGCCAAGTTTACCCGGGGCAGTTTGGAACCTTTCTGTGGCTAGTTTTCCTTCCAAAAATAAAAGGGAAATGATTGTCATCTACCGAGGGTGATATGGCACCCCCAGCTGCCCCACAGTGTCCCAAGTGATGCTGCAGGCAGGCCGGGGTCCCCAGCAGTGCTACAGAAGCAGGAAAAGAGCAACAACTAGAAACCAGAGGCCATGTGGCTGGTGGTCCTGGAGTGGGAAGCAGTTGGGGGTTTCTGGTCATTTTCTGTGAAGATAGAGGAGTTGCCAGGGTGTTCTAGAACTAGCATAAGCCATAAACTCACTGTTGTGAACATGTGTCCCCTCTGTGATGCAGACATTCCCAGAAATGACAGCGAGAGTTACCGGGGGCTGTTACCTAAGCCAGTGGACAGCGAGTGGAGGCACTTGCTCTAAAGCCAGCCCAGGTACACAGCCAGGTTGGAAACTCACCTTGGCTTCTCTTCCAGTGTAGCTATCAGAGCTCGACCTGGACTTGCCATGCCTCGGCAAGGCCACAACAGAAAGGCCTTCAAGACCTTGAACTATCCCTCTCAAAGTGCCACTGCCCAGTGGGAGGAAGTGGGTGTCTCCTGCTGCCCTGGCCCTGGGTGGGCTGTCCTGGGATGCCATGACTGGAGCTCAGGGTGTCTGTCACCTGGTTGTGAGTTCACCACAGGCACCAGGATAGAAGAGGCACTGAGCACAGGCATGGGCTATAGGCTTCCAGGATGGCTGTCACCATGCCTAGATCCCTACCCCAGCCAAAACCTGTGACTACTTCCCAGCCCCACTCAGCCCTAAGGAACCCAGAACAAGGGAGACGGGGGCGGGGGGAGGGGGGTCACTGACGTGCCCAAGGCAAGCCCAGAATCTGACCCACTGCCTGCTGGCTGAAGCAGAACGCCACCATGCTGCCACCACTCTGGGCACTGCTGTGTGTTTACAAGGGCCTCGGGCACCTGCAACGTGAAGGAGTGTGCTGCACGTGTGTCCTTTTGCACTCCGTGTTTCAGCAATACTGTTCACCGCACTTCAATTTTATCTTACATTAGAGAAAGCAAAGCAGAGCACTTGTCTAGCATGTGTGAGGCTCTGGGTCCCATCCCCAGCACAACAAAAATAAATAAAGGAAAAGCGGATGAAATTTATTTCAAAGAAAGCAGAAAAACTCACTGGGCGCTTACCACTCTAGACAGTTGTGCTGACGGAGGGCAGGGGACCACGGCCTGTTGAAGGCTGTCCAGTGAAGCACTGCCAGTGGCGTCATGCTTCTGCGATGGTAGAGACAAGCTCCCAAAGTGAAGTCGGGTCAAGAGCACATGAGCATGGCATGGTGGTGGACTCCTGTAACTCTAGCGGTTGAGAGACTGAGGCAGGAGGCTCTGGAGTTTAAGGCCAGCCTGAGCTGCATGGCACTAGCTGTGCAAACGGGATTTGAACTCAAGTCTAAATGGCTCTGAGGCCCATGCTCCTTCTACTCCTTCCTGTTGGATCCTCATTTAGGTTTTCTGCCTCGGGTGCCCAAGACCCCACAGCTGGCACTTAACTGTAGCAAACTGGGAAGTCCTGCAGTGGTTATTGTACTCCTGTGTCAGACGGTGGTCAGGGAGCAAGAATGATGTTAGGTAAGTGGTGGACACTCGTGAACATCATCAGGACATCTGACAGAGCTGGCACGGATCCTGACTGAAGGAAGAATGCACTTTGAAAAGCATGCAATTGACATGCACCTTGCTCATGGGAAGTTCAGCTGTGGTAACATGGCCAGATGGGAGGGTGCCAGGGTGACTGGGGAATGGCTTTTGTCCTTCCTGCCTGCCTCCCTCACAGCAGGTCATCCAGCCACTTCACCACAATAGTTTTCCCAGTCCTCTTACCTCTCAATACAGGAAAGTTTGTGCAGGGAGGTGAACACAAAAGGCTCTCGGTAAAGATACAAGTTTAGTCACTCATCCCATCCCCGGTCCCCAAGTCACCAAGGTTACCAGGGACTGTGGAATGGCCCTGTCCATTTTTTCTTCCTGTCTGGCTCTGGGTTTGTAGCAGGCTGTGTCTGGGAGGGCCATCTCTGTATGTGACCCTGGCAGACGCTGTAGAACAAGACTTGGGACAGAGCAATACAGAGGTGGAAGCTGAGTAAACACAGTTCGTCACATGTTTTATGGGCAGAGGTGCTGGAGCATTCAGTGATTTTAGAGACCTGCTTGCCAGACATGGAGGCTTCAATGCACTGCAGAATTTAGATTTGGTGCCAAATTAGCTGTGATTTATACAAAACCAAATGCCACACTTTTTATATTATCCTTCGAGAAGAAACGGTTTTGCTTGGTGTCCAAATGCAGGAAAGAACTTTAGCTGTATGCCAGCAGAACTTTTGAGCAACCCTAGCAAAAAGCATCATTCAGGAATGTCTCCCATCACAGGGCTGTGACGCTGCCTGGTAAGAAACGCAGTCAGATGCATGGCTGCCTGCCTGGAGGACCAGAGCAACAAGGTCATGGTTGCACATGTGACTGTGTACCACAGTTAAACGAAAAGCTTGTTGGTGCTGCCAAATGGCCACAAGGGCCCATGGAGTGGAGTGACTCCAGTGCCGCCCTCTTTCCTTAATGGTGTGTGTGTCTGTGTCCACACCTCTTGTGGTGTATACTTAGGATGCCTGGCCTGCATGGTGGATAGGCGGCTTCTTGGAGGAGAACTCATGGGCCTGCCTTGTGGATGAGAGGGAGGTGTGCCGGGTGCGCCTCTGACCACTCTCAGGTGCATGGCCTTTGCCTTATTGAACTCAAGGATACGCCTGACGTGAGGAAACCGTACCACCAGCTCAGGCCCAGCCGTTTGGTCCTGAGGTCTGTGATTTGCCCAAGACGGTTTGGGGAGCTGCCAGCCAAGTTTAGTTTGGACAACATAGAGAATCACAGTGGCTATGTCAATTTCTCGTTGGACAAACAGCTGTGTATAAACCAGAGTTAAAGTCTGTCTCTAGTGATTATGGAGAGATATCTAGCACTCTGTGTCTGATTATAGGGCCCATTAATTGCTGATCCTTAGAAGAAATTACCACCTACTTCCAAGTGGTAAGGGGCTCTGTGCTACAGCAGCCCCTCCCAGCTCCCAACTCCCAAATCCCAGATGCTGTGAAGACATTTGGTGGCTGTTCCTAAATTCTAACTGTTGTCTTTCCAATCAGATGTCCCCCAGGTCAAGGGACTGTTCCACACGTTCCATGTATTTCAGGCCCTCCTCTTCTCCCTGTCCACTTTGCCCAGGGGTGTCTTGAGATGGGAAAAGATGTCATTTGCACAGTAAAGGAGACATGTTTAGGAACAACAGCAGTTTCAGCCAAATTCAAGCAGCAGATAGACACAGCCATAAGTGCAAACATTTTAATTCCAAAGACCATGGTGTGTGCAAATGTGCTCGTGGCACAGGGTGGCTCAGCTTGGAAGACAAGCATGCGTTCCTGGGAAGCACGCGGAGGCTGGGCGCTCTGGAGGGGCATCGCGGACCTCTGTGACTTGCCATGCCCTCTCCATCTCTAAACTTGCTCCTGACGTGCCCTGATTTCTCCCAGAATGCTGAGCAAAGACAGGACTGCATGCACTATTGTGGTTCTGCTAGTGAGGCTGCCACTGCTACCAACAGCTGGGCAACGATGACACGGGAACGAGGTTTTCTTCACACTCGGCCTTAACCTTAATGCATCCGTCCGCTGACGGTGTCACCTCCCACTGCTGCTCATCTCTTTCTCGTGGTGACAGGTTGGCACAAGCTGCCCATCATTTAGCATGCAGACATCCTGCTTTCACCAGGGCCAGAAGGAGTGTGGCTCATGGCTGTGCCTGCTGTAGTTGTGTGAAGTATTACATGGCTTTTGTTTGAAATGTTAAATTCTTGTGCGGTGCTTGGGGAAGGAGGCATGGTGTCCTTTCCCCCCATCGTGTGAGATTGTTTTCAAGAACCTGAGATAAAGTTACTCTGTTTTCTAGGTGAGCTCTCATTTTCCTTACAAGTTGTCACAGAACGGGCTCTGTAGGGTTTGGGGCACAGTGGGGAGCAGGAAGGTGAGCTGCAAGCCTGTTCTCCCCAGACCATGTGCTTCCTACTGCTCGCCCGAGATGCTCTGCTGGGAAGCTGTGTCGTCCAGGCCCATGTCCTCCTGGCTGGCTCTTCTGCACATCACCCCCAGGTTCTCTGCCATGGCCTCGGCCAGACCTCGGTCATGAAGCTGGCCCTGCTCAGCGGAATCTGAGGGGTCACATGGCTCGGAAAAGTGCTTCCAAAGAGATAGGAGAAGCAAGGACTGCTCAGCTACACTCACTGACCAGCTCTTTTTCAAGTCACCTCCCCGTCCCCCGACCCCCTCATGCCGTGGGAACTGGAGCTGGGGTAATACCAAGTGAAATGACAGGCCTGACAGGTGGCCTAGGCTAAGGTTAGAATGTGCCAAAGCCACGCGACTGTGGAGTCTCTGGACATGGGCGTTTCCCAGGAGATCAGGGTGTGCTGGATGTGTGTGCCTGGAACTCCCCAGCAACCCCCCTCTTTCCACCCATACTGAGCTCCGGCAAGTAACACAGGGAGATTCCATCCCGATGGTGACACAGAGGCCACTGGTTCTGGATGCTTGGAGTCCAAGGATTCATCATCCTTGCTGGAGATAGGGAAGGAAAATTTGCCAGAATCCCAGAAATACACCCATGGGGTGTGACTTAAACCAGACTGGGATGGGGAAAGAAGTGGTATTTTGTGCTTTTTTATTGAGGAAATGAGAAAAAAGGGGAAGATGTTTGTGAGTTTAGATAATTAAACTCAAGTAAAACTCTGGCAATAACGTCCTTTCTGTTGGCCTGTATGGCCCAGGGGGCTGCAGGAAGCCATCTCCATCCATCCTCCAGGGAGGACAGGCCCTTGCTGCAGCCCTGGGCTCTCTAGACCAGCCTGTCCCAGCCCGGGCTCCCCAGGAGCCCAGCATGAAGGAGACGGAGGATGGCACAGTGACTGCACTGGACCTGAGGCTGAGCACTGACTTTCCTGTGAACTTGAGAAAGCAAAGAAGGAAACCTCCACATCTGACCCATTTTTGCCGTAACGCCACCCATTTTGTAAGGGATCCCTGTGTTCTCTCTTCACTTGCTCTCTCCCTTAGGAAGCTCTGGTTTCATGTAGTATCACCCAACCTGGAATTCCGGCTCTGAGGTTCGTAAACCACTCATCTTCCAGTATTTAGCTATCTGAAAGTGCTGGGTAGGAATGCATGCTATTTTAACTCTGCATTGATTGCTCCTTCCTGTCCCTCCAGCCAGAAAGATGGGACATGAACAGGAGGCCACCCTGCTTCCTTGGCATGGATGAAGGGAGCATTCTCCCTACAGCAGCATGTCACCAAGAACCCTCGGGAGAAGGTGATGATGGCACTCCACAGTCAGGTGGGCGGGAACCTAAGGCTGTGTGGTACCCCAGTCAGGCAGGACTGACTCCCCACACACAGTAGTACTTACCCGTGTGGCCTGACCTGCAGCCCTGGCTGAGGGGCCCATCACGATGTTGACACTGCTGGAAGACTGGGTGTCGCTGGTGTTGCCCCCCTCTGCAGCCGAGAGTCCAGAAATGACAAGTGCACTGGAAAAGCTCCTCTTGCCGAAGAGGAAACTTAGCGTGGAGCTGGTGGAGGAGCCCAGGCTGGAGCGGATGAGGGCCTCAGCTCGCTCACGGACACTCAGGTGGCCCGTGGTGGTGATGGGTGGTGGCTGAGAATGTAGGGATGCAGCTGAGGTGTGCAAGGATAGCCGGCTGCCTGAGTGTCTCTGGGCCAGCTCGTGCACTGAGGAAGACGTCTGCAGGAAGGCCTGGCGGCTCTCCATGATGGGGCCAGAGGAGCTCAGGGCCGGTGGTCTCTGACTGAGTGCCGAGTGTGCCTGGACAGACTGGCTTCTGCCCTTCATCGTACCTGCAAGGGAGGTGGGGAGAGAGAGAGTCCAGTGGGTCACATCAGCCAGTGTGAGAAGTGCTGTGGTGAACATGAGTCTCACTCCCTTTCAAGGGCCTGAGTAACAGGTTCCAAATACAGATAAGACAGGTCTGTCCTGTGGCACAGTGGGGCGACTACAGTTAACAAGGTATGACACATTTCAAAGTAACTACATAGAAGAGCCCTGAAGGTCCCCAACACAGAAATGACAAATGTTGAACAAGATGGAAATGCTACTTACCCTGATTGTCCATGTGGACCTGAATCAAATTGTACACATGAATATGTATGAATATGAGCCAGTGAAACAAACAAAACATTTGCAGCACATCATTGCATCAGGTGGCCGGGAGCACCTGTGTCCACGTGCTGCTGGAGCCATCATCTCTGCCTGGGCCCAGGAAGCCAGGGCAGCCCACCTGCAAGGCTGGGACAGGGCTGGAGACGACTGTGCAGCCACAGTGCCAGTTGGGGACACTGTGACAATAGAATTCAGAAGGCATTGGTGCCTTGGTTTCCCCTGCTTGTAGGCTAAGAACGCTGGTGGGAGGAAGAACTCAGCCTGTGTTGAGTTGCAGGGTACTCAGGGTTGCCGCTGGCCTCTCTGGGATGAGTGTGTACTCAGCCCTGGCCTGGGGTTATCAGCCTCTCACCCAGGGAGTGGCCATGACCCTGAAGGTCCCTGTTCTTTCAGAGGAAAAATGGGGGTGAGGGGAGAACATGATGATTCAGAGCGAAGAGAGGGGGGAGATTTGTTAGTTTACTCAGAGTCTGGCAAGGGCAGACATCTCTTTGTGATTTACACTGTAAAGCCGACCACTGTCCAAAAATCCTCCACATTTATCCACAAATCAGTGATTTGCACGCTGCATAGACCACCCATACTTGACGGGGCCTTCCCTCAAATTCCGGGAACAAAGGGGCAAACGCCCTCTGTGTACCAAAGGGGAGTGGTCTGTCATCCTTGCCAGATGAGGACCCCTCGTTTCATTGCTTCAGGTGCCCTTTTGGCTCTTTCTTTGTTGCTTTTTAGTTTTGCAAATGAAATAAGAAGACCATGCTAAAATCATGTATGCTACTCAAGATCATTGTTCTTAACCCTGGATTATCAGATTGTGAGTGACTCAACCCAGGATGGAAGGACAATGTAAATTACACTCTGTGCCTCATTAGCCCTGCTCTTTGATCATATCTGGACAGTGGTGGAGCAAGCCATGGAACACAAGATCCTGCCTTTCTCTGCAGCATGGGAGTCGGACAGGGATGGATTTCTAATGACCTATGGTAAGTAGGTCACCAGCCTCACTATGGGACCAGCACTCCTCCAGCTGTGACATAGAAGAGATTGGTGTAGGGAGTGCTGGTTACAGGCAGGAAGTGCTGGAAGTGCCAGCAGTGGCCCTACAAAGTGGTTGTGTGGGGGAGGTGCCCCCTTGTTGGGATCCAGGGAGAAACAAGTCTTCTAAAGCATCTAAGTTCGGGTGGATGAGTTGGGGGGCGAGTGGGGGAGGGGAGGCTGGGAGCCAGAAGGGATGTGGCAGTCACAGATGGTGAGCCTTGGTCCCTGTGAGTGGACTGAGGCCCTGCTAGGAGGCTCAAATTCCTTCTTCCAAATCACTCACTCGCTGTTGCTTGGCTGATGGTCTCTCTCCTGCCCTTGCCAGAGATAGAAAGTCCCTACATCTGAGAGGCCCCATGCCTGCCTGTCACGTGGTTGTTTGATACAAGGTCCCCTCTGCGGCCATTTTTGGCTGACTTTCTGAAGTAAAGGACCTGTATAGTCCTGATCCCAGCTGTGCCCAGCACATCCCATGGCAGGTACAACACAGAAAGGAGCATCTTCAGAACTTAACCTGGCTCGGAAGCCCTGAGGGGGACCCAGAGTCCCTGACCAGTCTGGTGTGTGCGTGGGACTTCCTAACCTTGGAACCATTTGGGAAGAAAAAAATCCCACCATAACCCTAGAGGCTGAGACCCATAGATATGTGCCTGCAGGCGGTGGATTCTAAGAAGGTGATTTTTCCATTGTTCAGGCCAAGTATAGAGATGGGGACCAGGAATCCCCTCCAGATGACTACGTACTAGCCCTGCCTGGCCCGGCAGGCTCCTGGGTTCCTCTCTTGGAGCTGAGTGGTGTCTTAACTCAGATGAGCTGGGCCGTTGATTCAACTGAGAAGATGGGGAGGAGGCCAGAGAAGCCAGGGCTGAAATACAGTCTGGGGATGGATAACCTGGGCTGATGGACCTACCTCTCCCCCACTTTTCGGGCTTGGCCTTGCTAGGACCTCAGGGTTCACCTGCCTTAACTGTACTCAGGTGGCCTTGGTGGAATGTCTTTAGGATGCAAAAATGAGAAACAAACAACTGGTTTGAAGAAACTAGGCTTTCTGGAGGCCTGTGGGCACCAGCCTGGGCTCACAGCAGACAGACTATAGCAGCTGGTGAGGGAGCTCTTGTGTTTTTCTTCTGAGCAGCCAGCATCAGCTCATTTACCTCTCTTTCCTGTCCTTCTTTCTGTCCTTTATCTGTTAACCATCTACCTACCTGTCATTCAATCAATCTATTGCCTATTATCTTCCTATTATCTGTCCGATCTCCTTCCTTATATAGCTGCCCATCCCCCCACATATCAATCAATCAATCAATCATCTATTATCTATCTACTGTCATCTTCATCTTATCTATCATTTATTATCTATCATCTTACCTATTATCTATCTACCTATCTTCTATCATCTTATCTACCTACATCTGTCTATCCATCTGTCATCTGTCTATCATCTAGCTAGCTAGCTATTATCTATCTGTCTGTCTACCTACCTGCCTATCTCCCATCTTGCCCACGTGTATATGATTCACCCCTGCCCCGCTCTGGGCACCCTCAGGAGTCATGGCTGCTCCTTCCAGCTCATCTGTTGCAGAGCTGGCAGGGGAAGCAGGCACAGAAAGCTTATTAAATGCTTCTGGAAGGCGAGGAAGGAAGAACTGAGGGCAAAAGATGAAACTGCTGACAGGCTGCAGAGGGCAAAGGCAAGGAGCAGCAGGGACCAGGTCATCTTCTGCAAGCCCTCAACTCTCCTGCCAGCCCAGCGCCCACCACCACTCAGCCACCAGCAGAGGTTGGAACCTCATCCACCTGGCAGAGCCTGCCTATCTGGGGGCTAGGTGAATGGAATTTTAAGCTTTAGACTCAGCCCCGGCCACGTTCTCTGCTCCCATCTGCTCGTACTCTTCCTGCCTCCTTCCTCATGCTCTGAGTATCAGTGATAAGCAGAGGGGGTGAGAACAGGAGAGGACAGAAGCCTATCTGCAGAAAGAGGAGGACCACATGAGGACATGACTGCACCACAGCCACTTGTAGTACACACATGGTGGAACACCACTAAGAGAACTGGAGGGAATGTAGAGTCTGGAGGGCAGGAGGACTGACAGATGAATGGCTGACTAAGGTGTTGGACAGACGGACAGATAAATGATCAAGCTGGACCTAGCAGATGCAGAGGGTTTTTCTAGAAAGATCCTTATAAGATCTAAGACACTTGGCAGCCTCTGGTGCAGTGCTCATTTTGACTGTGGCAAGGAGCCCTCAGAGGGGAGAACGGCAACCAGGCCCACGATGCTGGATCCGAGGCCCCACTGCACCCACCTGTCCTCTGAGGCCCTCCGTGGGGTGACTCCCAATGCTGGGTGCCCCCTTTCCTGGGCTGTTCCATGCTGCTTTCCCGGCTGTCACCATTTGGGGCGTGGCTGCCACCCACATCCTCAATGTTGCCACCGCTGCGCTGGCTGGCACTGCACTCCTTCCGCATTCTGTGAGAGGGACAGAAGCTTCCAGGGTCCTAGCAGTGCATGTCAGACAGACATGCCACCCAGCGATGTCACAGTCAAGAGCAGTGGTCTCTGAGGCTTAAATCATTCAGACATCCCAGCCGCCTTAGTTTGTGTAAGTACTTTGTGTAACTCTGATGTTCACATAATGACAAAATTGCGCATTCCGAGAACATGTCTCCATTGCTAAGTGACACATGACTGCTTCCTTAGCCCCTCTCCAGGCCTGACTGGGCAGAAGACCATGCTCTCCAGGTAAGTAGCACCCCTTCCCAGGTGCAGATGGGGAGGGGGATTTGTTTCTTAAACCTCAGTGCCTAGTAAATGAGCAGATGCACCAGGGTGGTTAGCATTGGTCTCATTTCCACAAAAACCTGAGCTTCATTCTATACCTGACCAGGAAGTGCTGCCACAGAAGGGCAAAGCTTAGAATCCCTAGCAACTAGAGACTCCCTAGGAAGAAGTCTAAGAGTGTGAGAGGCGGGCGCTGGGGGTCCCCGCCTGGTTCTCTCCAGCAGAAGTGACACAGTCACTCTGAAGGCCCAAGAGCCCAGCCCAGCAGGTGCAGAGAAACAGACTCTTGGCCTGTGACACCTCCTGTGGACACCCAGAGACCACTTGTTGAATGCATGGCCTGTCAGAGGCCACTTGGGTACAGCAGTATTACACAGATGATATAACAGTGGTTGTCACTGACATTCTGACAGCGTGAGAGCCCTGTGTCCCCTCCCCCCTTCTGTCCAGGAAGAGCCCCTGCATGCTCCTACCTCAGCCACCTGGCCTGGAACCATGTCCTCACATTGTCCAGCGTGACAGGGCCACCCCAGACACCCTGTAGCTGCCTGTGGGTGCCCAAGTAGGACGTGGTCAGCGGGGAGACATACATGGGGTAGCCCAGGGGCTGGTCACAGGAGGAGTTGATGAGGTTCCGCAGGACCTGCTTGTTGTTCTGGATGCTGCCCCGCTCTGGGTTGCGGTTTCGGAGGAAGATGAGCTCCTGCTGCTGCCCGGCCCAGAGCCCACGGACACACTCCTTGTTCACCTGCAAGTTGGGGAGTGGGGAGAGGAGGGTGGCTGGGGCTCTTGGTCTGTGGGTTTAACCCGCAGTGGACGAGCAGGCCTCTGAGACTGGGCATCTTTGACCATAGCCACCCTTGGCCTAAGCCTTTGTCTCAGTCAGTCCTAAAGATGGAGGTGCAGCTGTTTTCAAGGGTAAACCAGGGGAAAATAGAAAGAGATTTTGTTTTATCCTGATAGTTCAAAGCTCTATGAAAAGAAGAGACACAGGGAATAAAGCACTTGGATCCAGGAAGAGATCATTAGAGAAGGTTCTGGAACTCTAGAGAATTAGGGCTCTATACTCTATACACTCCACCGTGTCCTCCAGGACTTCTGGCCCAAGTTCTCGTTCTCTGGGCAGAAGACGACCCTGCCAGGTAACTGCAGCCCCTAGGCCCTCAGCCCGCCTCTGCCTGCTGGTCACTGCTGCTCTGGTTCGTTCCTATGACAAAGGGCGCTGGCCAGTGACTCGACTGTGGTGCCTACCACATTCTCTTTCTTCTCAGCATCCCCAGATGAAGCCTGTACCCCGCAGCCCCAGGGTGTGGCTGTACCTTGATCACCTTGAAGGTCAGGAGGCCTCTGTGCAGCATGATAACCTTGTACTCGTCAGCCCCCTCGTCCACCACGTGCCGCAGTGTAAGCAGCTCCTCCCTGTTGGACAGCACTGCGGCCCTCCAGGCTGGGTCGCCCTCATGGCAGATCACCACCTTCTTCTCGAAGGACTGGATGGCCTCATACAAGACCGCAGGGTCTTCGTACTCATCCGGGCAGGTGAACTGGTCCTGGGGGAAGAGCTCATATGGGCTCAGGGAGGCCAGCACTGCTGGCCCTGGGCTGGTGCAGATGGTGACTTACAGTGACCCTCAAGGCCACGTCCTCTACTCCTCTCACTCTGTCCCTGTTCTTCTGCATCCTGAGCTGGGTTCAGAGGGTTCCTCCTTATCGCAGAGGGTTCTTAACCAATGGCACGTGCCTAGGGAAGTGCTTTGGGGCTTAGGTCCCTGTGACTTTTAAATACTTCTTGGACACTCGGCTATGTCACTTCTCTGGCCGATACCCCTCATCCTTCCTAGTAGACTGTCACCTCATCCTTGCAGCTCCCGAGGGTGAATGCCACTGGCCAATGTCAAGACAGTTGAGACCAACTTTATGCTTCCTTAGCTAACTGTTGAACCCGGTCCCAATGCAGGCAGGGAAGGAGGACCACGGTTTTAAAAGGCTATTTTCCCCTGGAGTTTCAGGCTTACACCTTCTTTCTTTTCTTTTCTTCTTTTCTTCTTTTTCTAGTATTAGAAAGTGAACCTAGGATCTTATGCATGCTAGGAAACACACTACCACTTGAGCTAAAATCCTACCTAGCCCTTTTGTTTTGAGATTGGGTCTCACTGCTCCCTTTGCCTCGGCCATCCTCAAACTTTTGATCCCCTTGCTTCAATCTCCCTGGGATTACAGACAGACGAGCCCCACTCAGGGTAACCAGCTTTTACCTGGTGTAGCTTCAGGGACATCCTGATGGCCGGGGCGACGACTTTATGCAGTAGGTCCATGTCAGCAAACACCCACTCATCCCGGGCTGCCACCCTGAAGTCGCCTTTGAAGAGGGTGTGCAGGCCATACAGGAAGGAGTCCAGGCTGCAAAACACAGTCTTGTGACTGTGATGGTTCACGCTGAGCACACACTCAGAGTCCTGTCACCCTCACCAGTGTCTGACTCTCCATACTGAAGAATCACCTTCCTGTTTTAGTCTGATTCAGCAAGGAGAGGAAGACGAATCTGGACTTGCAAGAGCACCAGTCCCTGGCCCTGCAGCCCGATGCAGGTCCCTGACGAGTGCTGGTGCTGTAGCATGGAGTTATCGTGGTGACCTCTGAGTGTGAACTCTGGGACCCAGCCACACACAGAGTGCCACCAGGACAGCAGGCTCACCCTTCCCCTGACTCTGCCAGTCTTCTGCTCCTCAGGAGCCAGCCACACAAACCATGTCCTCACTCAGTACCTCATTTCTCTTCTGGAATTTCTGGGTATCAGTTTTATTCTATGTTACTACTCATAATAAAAGCTAGATTTGGGCTGGGACATGGCTTAAGTGGTAGAGTGCCTGCCTAGCAAGCATGAGGCCCTGAGTTCAAACCCCAGTCCCGCCACCAAAAAAAAAAAAAAAAAAAAAGAAGAGGAAGAAGTGAATTCTACCACAACCTGGAGAGAGGGAAAATATGCAAACTATGCAAATGAAACCTGAAATTGACCACTTAGGTTTGTTAGACCTCAACTTGGTATCACTTCTGCCATCTTAAACTGTTTGACCTTGGGGTTGCTTGGCTCCAGTAGTGATGGGCCCCCAAAGTAAGCATGTGCATTTTCAGTCAAACAAGGTTCTCAGACCATGTCCTTTTCCAGTGCTCTCATTTTCTACGTGACTAGGGAAGAGGCAGAAAAGTGCAGGTTATGATGGTGACCATGGCATCTTCGGGGCTGTCTGGGTTTTTTTGTACTTTCCTGCATTTCCTGCCTTTCCCACAAGCCAGTGAGTGGCACCTGGATGGAGAACAGGGTTCCTTCCAGAAGAGAAGTCACTTGGGGTCTGGAGCCTTTAAATTTTGGATGAACATGGGGAGCAAGTTTGGAAAGTGACTTGTCCTGTGTTTTGAGGACAGGAACAGTCTCTCCTTTGCCTGCTCTTTTTTCTATTCCTACTGTCCATCATGGCTGCCTCTAACATGGAAACCAGTGTCCAGGACAGGGTGGAAGAGGGACAGAGGAGCAGACAAGGAGCGCGGAAGGGATCTCCCAGGACGGCGCTCATGAGGACTGAATGAGTCGCTCACGGAGCAGGGCTTTGATTCATCACAGAGCATCAGGCCTACACATAGGGGAATAGTCCTGCTGTTTTGCCACAAAATGTACCACTATCACTAGTTTCCTTTCCAGAACTCCCTTGGGAAGACGCCGAGGCTTTGCACCAGGACAGCCTGTAGGAGGCAGAAGTGGCCAATGACTGGTCAGGTGGGGCCTGGGGTGTGGTGGTCTGGCAGCTTCTGGAAAGAGACCCAGGAGATGGCCTTCAAAGAAGGGCTCTCTCCTCACAGAGCAAAGGCTTCCTGGGGCTGAGAGCCACTGCCAGCTGTCAGGGAAGCTCCTAGAGGCCATCAAGGGACAGCAGAGCAGCCCTGCGGGTAGGGGATTCAAACATGAGCTGCCAGCTGCTCTCAATGGAAACATTTGTCGTCAGATGGGAGCTGAGCACCAAGACAGGAGAAGGGAGTTCTAAACAACGGGTGGGGTTTGTGCAGGAAAGGGTTAGGGACACCACACAGCTTGCTCGGGATGGCTGCGCACATGTAGAGATAGAAACCTCCCTCCAGATGTAGCGATGGAGACAGAACCAAGCAAGGCCACGGGCCATCCAGGTACCCAGAAGAACACCCAGACTCAGGAACAAGGGGTTACTGCCTTGGCCTGCTGCTCACCCCACTGCTTCCAAAGGAGCCTCACTCCGATGCTCAGTCCGCATACAAGCCCCAGCTGTCCTTCATCTTTTCAGAGAAGACGACGCATCGCAGAGCTTACTGTCATTCTGTCGAAGTGATTCTCCACGTGAACCAAAGCCTGAGTTAGAATCCGGTGAGACCACGAGTATTATAGCCGCACCTGACAGCTCAAGGCATTCTTGCAGGAGGTGTTTCATTATCTGCCTTTCCCTCTTGAGAGAGTGCAGGGGAGGGCAGCCAGCAAGCTCGGCTTTGTCTTTCTGAGATTCTACTGGGAAATGACCCCTCCCAACCAGGCCCGCAGCTGGGGCTGGGCTATAGCTGTGAGCGATGGGTGCATGAGTCAGTCCAGGCTGCTCCTTGTGGGGACTCAGCCCCATTCTCACCGCACTGACAGGAAGGTGGAGTCAGGAAATCACTGGCCCCATTCCAGTGGGTGGGATCATTCAGAACAGGGAGGGAAGGCAGGGCTCACAGAAACTCAGCACATATGTGGTCCCAAGTCAGCGATGCATGTCCACACATGCAGCACCAAAGGCTGAGACACTGAGATAAGCACGGGCTTGCCTGGCAGCATTTATGTGCTGAATATGGTAACAAAACCACACCGGTACCAGGACTACGTACGTCTCAATATGATGGCGAGTGGCTGATACTTGAGTGCACTCTCTTTCAGCTGGAGAAGCTGTGTGTTACTTAGGTCATTACCCCACCCTTTCCAATCCAGAACAGATCCATCCCTGTTGCCATCCTGGTTCCTGACCCAGCTGCTTAGCAAACAAGGACAGAACTTGTACTGATGGGCATAGGTGAGGGGCTGTCCTCTGGCCTCCTGGAGACAGGGCTCTGGCTACAGGCAGTGGTGTTGCTTGTAGAGTGGCCTTGGCTGTGTAGCAGCTCCAGGTCTACCGCCGGTTTGGCCTCAGTAGGCCCAGCCATCCAGTACCTTGTCCCCTCCCCTTCATGGCGGACACTTTGGGGATGGCAAAGGTGTCCTATGCCCCTGTTTCTCAGCTTTTGTTACCCACTGAGGGCTCCTTGTAGCCCTGTTCCAGCCAGGCCTGATGCCCTCCGAGCCCCAATTTTGCTCAAAATCACTGGGATGGTGAGTCTTGATTGTCAACTTGATTGGACTGAGAGACGCCTAGGAGACCAGTGAAGCTCACCCCTGGGTATGTCTGTGAGGGCTTTTCCAGAGAGGATTATGACAACTCTGACCTGCTGAACGGTTTACTCCATTGATGGACTCAAAATCTTAATAGACAATTGGCAGGTGGTGGAACTATGGAAGGTGGGGCCTGGTTGGAGGAAGTAGGTCACCAGGGGTGGTCCTTGTGGGCTGTGTCTTGGGCTGTCTCTCCTGTTATTGCTCCACTCTGCTTCCTGGCCACCATGATGTGAGCTGCTCTGCCACGCCCCCCTTGCCACGAGGGACTGAAACTTCTGATACTGTGAACAAAATAAATCCTTCCTCCTTTTAAATTGTTCTCTCAGGTATGTATGTTAGTCACAGCAACAAAAAACTGATTAATACAGTCACTGACCAGCTCAGCCTAGCTGTCACCTGCACTGTCTTCCATGGTGCTTCTCAACCAGTGGTTATTTGGGGCCCCAGGGGACATTTGGTAATGTCTGGGGGCATTTTGGCTGTCATCCCCTCCCATCAGCTTCTGCGGTTGGGTGATAGAGATTGAGTACAGCTACAATTCAGGACAACCCCACCACAAGGAACCACCCAGCCCCAAACGTTGACAGTGCCCTGCCTGAGGATGAGGGTGTCCAGTGCAGGACAATGACATTGTCTGGGATCACTGAGTGGGATCACTATGTGGGGTCATCGTGTGGGATCGGGCCCTTTGGGATCTCAGGTTGTGGGAACAACTTTGACACGGACTGATTCACAAGGTCACCCAGCACAAAGACTGACTTGTTCCCACTCCAGGTCCTGGCCAGGCATCATGAAGGCCGCTGCTGCACGGGCACGGCCCCAGACAGCACTTCAGCGCATGTACAAACCACGGCACCCAGCTTGCAGCTGGGTTTGCATGCTCACAGATGAGTGGTGGGGATCCTGGTGTGTGTGGGGGGGGGGTGCCACCTACCCACGTCACCAGCCCAGCTGCAGACAACCCCATGCTGGACTGCAGCAGGCTCTCCTCCTGCATGCTCTTCTCCTCTTTGGGTGCATCTAGTGACCTTGAGCTGGCTTCAAGGTCACTACCATGACTCCTGGCTATACTTCCACTACAGTTCCCTAAACAAAAGCAATGGTTCAGATGGGCAGCACCACCTCTGAGTCACTAAAGAGAGGCAGGAGAAAGGACGATGTCTTATGTCCTTTCTGCTCATTGTGGACTATGTGGCATAGGATCATTTCATCCCCTGGGGTGCCTGCACAGGATTTGTCATTACTACCCCTTCATGTATAGGGGAATGTTCCAGAGAAAGTGGAGCCGGTGGGTGGGAACGAATACTTAGAACACACCACACTGATGCAGCTCAGGAGCAAGTCCACGGCCGTTCCCAGGGTGCCAGCTCTCCAGGACACACAGCTGCTTTAAGGTCTGTAGCTGGACATCTTCCTAAAGGCCAGATCAGAGGTGGTGTCAGAGTGACCTGATCCTTATGGCTGCAGTGGAGTTGCAAGGTGAGTGTGGTTGGTGACGTCGTGCAGGTGGCGCCCAGTGAGTTCCTCCCACCTGGGCTGGTGTGCACTGCACACTTCCTTCCCCAACAGGGCATCAATACCACTTTCACGCACCCTACATAGGTTACTCCATTGGCTCTAAAGTCAAGACAAGCCTGGGTTGGATGCAATTGGCTCTTACCTGGTGAAGAATGCTCAAAAAGCAGCCCAGGTGCCCCTTAGTCGCCCCACGACACTTCTGCTTCTTCAGAGAACAGCTCCCTTGCTGAGAGACAGCATGTGGCCTAGCAGAGTGGAGGTGTGGGAGCCAGAGCCGCAGAGCCCAGCATGGATCTTGACTCTGATGTTGTGTCCTTTCCTTGTTATCATCTGCTTCTTCCTGCCCTTGCTCTTGAGTGCAAGTGTGTCCAGGGGTATTTAAAGGTTTGGGAGGGGCTTGCTAAGAATCTGGATTGTATGGCCTGAGTGCAGAGGTGTGGTTTGAGAACACAGGTGA